CTCATGCTCTGTCTCTCTCTGTCTCTCAATAATAAATACACGTTTTAAAAACAGGTAGAATAACTGGCGTGTCTTTCGTCTCCCCCCTCTTCCCCGTAGGTTAACCTCAGAGCCACAGATGTGAGGCTCATGCGCCAGTTGCTTGTTATCAACGAGAGCATTGAGTCCATCAAGTGGATGATTGAAGAGAAGGCCACCATTACCAGCCGAGGAAGCAGTCTCAGTGGCAGCCTGTGCAGTTTATTGGAGAGTCAGAGCACCTCCTTACGTGGCAGCTACAATAGCCTGCATGATGGCAGTGATGGGCTGGATGGCATCTCCGTGGGGAGCTTTCTGGACACTCTGGCAGATGATGTCCCAGGCCATCAGACCCCATCAGACTTGGACCAATTCAGTGACAGCTCCATAATAGAGGACTCACAAGCACTGCACAAGCACCCCAAACTGGATTCTGAATACTACTGCTTTGGCTAATGACCCAGTTTTTTGCATGGGATTGGTGTGCAATTAACTTGTATTTATCCTTCTTCTCCGCTGCTATCTTTTTGGTGTGATTTTTTTTTTATATATATATATGACAACCTTTTTAAAAGAAGCTTATTTTGAAACTGCTTGATGATAATTCTGTTGCTCCTAATATTTCTCATCTGGACTGATTGATCTTTCTCTCGTACATCTCTATTTTTATTTATTACAATGATTTTTCTCCCTTCTTTACAGTGGCACAAGTAAAGTAGGGGGAAAAAGAATAAGCAATAATTATGTTTTTGCTTTTGTTTTCAGAGCAAGGGGTCAGGGATTACCAAAAAATAAATCTTTGCTAAATTTTACAATAAACCAAAGTCTGACAACAGTTTATTTTGTTCTTTGTATGCTTAAACAATTCAAAGTTTCATTTTCCAGAACATACTGAAGTTTATTAGGATTTGTATCGTAGGTTGGACAAAAGAGTTGCAACAAACGTAGGCATTATTTGTAGGCAAAAACTTCCTAGTATAAAATAAACAATACAGCTAGTCACATACTTCCACGTGGCAATTATTCGGAAGCCACAACTCTGTGAAATCTGCTCACTTCAACTTTGAGTTCATACTTTGGATCGTACTTTTGTCTTTAGTGACTCTAACTCAAACTATATAAGCTTAGTTGTGTGATAATATATATGATTCTCCCAGATTTCAAAGCATAATTGAGGTTAGATACATGAAGGTGATTAGAGAGGTTCTAACTTGTATTTTGAGATTTTGTTGACATTTGTTTATAGGTGTTTTGTGATTCTGATATGATATACAAACACATAAATCACATATATGGATGGATGGATGGATGGATGGATGGATGAAGTGGGAATTAGAATCACCATTTGTGAAGTCTAATATATCTGTCATCCTGGAGTAAAAAATCTCTTAATTTTCTGAAATGACATCCAAAAATATAACTCATGTAGTAAACAAACATTTCATTTTGGTGTGTTATGAATCTTCCACATTCTTTTACCTTAATGATTCCTCATGAGTGAATTATTGAGATTTCAAACTGTTCTTTGTAAATATGTTTCTGTACTAAACACCTTACAGTATGAATCAAAAAGGCTTCCTATTTATAATTGAAAAATGTCCATACTTGAGAAATGGTTTCCCCAAATTTCCTTTGTTGATATATAACTATTACACTCTTGTCAAATGTATTGTTTGCTTCCAGAACATATGTTATTCCATTTCCAATTAAAATCTATAGGGTCTATATTTTACACCAGTCTTTTTTTCATAAATTACTTGATATAATCCACATCGCAACAATCTCATGATGTGAAAATTGTCTCTTTCCTATATTTGAGGAAACTGAGGCACATGGAAGGTAGGTAACTGGATCAAATCACCAGTAAGTGTCAAGACTCGGATTTGAACTTGAGTCTCTCTCAGCCATAACAATAACAATGGCCCCTTTGATACCTATTGAAGTTAAATAATAAAGTGTAGATAAAAAAGCAAATATAAGCCCATTACCAAAAAAAAAAAAAAAAAAAAAAAAAAAAAAAAAAAAAAAAAAAAAAAAAAAAAAAAAAAAAACCAATATTTTCTTTCCAATCCGTGAGAACCCACATTTCCCAATACCAAGCTTTCTAAGCCCTTTCCTGAATTCACATGTCCGGAGTCAGTTTTGTTCCTACAGGTGAATTGGGGATTTGACATGCCAACCGTTACTAATGTATTTTCCCCTTCCTGCTTATTTTTACTTTGAACTTAGCAAAGGTTGGCTGATTGCCTATTCTGTTCAGTTTTAACCTAGAATTAAACCAAGCCGTTTTCAGCACAGATTATTTACCCAATTAAAATCTGAGAATGTTCATTATGACCTACCAGAGAAACATCCTTAGAACCAAGACTGATGCGTTCAAGCAGAGGGTAATGAAATATGTAACCAGATGTCTAGCACTGCAAGAACATCATAAGAGGGAAGGAAGCAGACAGCAAGGGTATAAGAGGCATCAAGGGAAAATTCTCACCCCATCACAACCCAGCACTTGCCTAGGACAAGCCAGGTACATGAACAGTGATTTCTGTCCTCCAATCATACCTGTAGATTGTAAATCAAATGTGGCAAATTTCTTTCACATCCTCCTCTTCCTAATCAGTTTCCCCTACTATTTGCCAATCCCATGCTCTCGGTATGTGTCCCATCTGTGGAAAGGATATTATAAAAGCAAAAGAGTATAATATGGGAAAAGTGTGTGGAATAGTTTTCATTGATCCATTGTATTTTAAGGGAAACTGTCATGAACACTGGCCGAATACTCGAGAATTTTTTTGGCTCTATGAGTTTCACTACTGTATGTGCTTTACATACTGTATGTATGTGTTCCTATTGATTTTTTTTGCAAAATATATCAATTATAAAGTCTGTGATTTAAATATTAGAGTCATATGAAGCCAACAATGTTTTGATTGTTGATTTTACTAAGTGGAGGAAAATATACAAACAGCACTAATTACTAACATATTTATTTGTTTCAAAAGAATGAATGCATTTTTAACTAAAGAATCCCCGTAACTAATCTCTGACCTGGAGCATCTGATATTTGATCTATGTCAGCATCATGAGAAAATGGGGTAAAAAGTTAAAGGAAAAATGCCTTGTGAACTATTCTGCCTGCACTGAGCTGCCTTCTCCCAGAGAAATGGAAACTGTCCTTGGTTCTATAAATCTCTCCATTTTATAGACCCATCTGCCTTATAATGAGAAGGAGATAATTGGAGGTAAGGAACTTTGAAAATTTAGAATACATTTTAAGGGTATTGCAAATAAAGAAATGCTAGATGACCCAATTAGAAGACTTTTTGATTTTTTTAAGTAATCTCTACATACAACATGGGGCTGGAACTCACGACCCCAAGATCAAGTCACGTGCTTTACAGGCTGAGCAAGCCCAGGCGTTCTGACCAACTTAGAAGCCTTAATTAAACTTCAAAAACCTCCAATAATTATACTACCAGTCAGCCCCAAGTTGCATAACATAATGTGTTAAGTATTTGTCAACACTTAGAAATGCAATAAGGATTCTTTGCTGTTGGGTAAATTATAAAGGCATTTGAAGCTCCACGAACAACTTCAATCAGGCATTTAATGTATCCCCAACTCCAGCAAAACACAATTCCCTCCATTCTGTCAAAAAATAGTTGTCTTGAGGTCCTTATCTTATACCTTAGCAGCAGATGACACATTAGATTATGCATTTCTAGAAAGACTTTCTTCATTTGGCTTCCAGGACATCACTCTCCCTTGGGTCCCATCATCCCTCACTTGCCTTCTTGTTGGCACACTCTGTTGCTGTTTTCTTTTCATATTCCTGACTTCCAAACACACGAATGCCCCTTTTCTCAATCTTGGTATCACTTCTATTCTAAAATGTCTCCCTTGGGAATTTCACCCCGTTCCAGAGCTTTAAATGGCATCCGTGTACTGAGATTCCCAAAAGAATATCTCTTGCCCCAGTTTCTCTCCTGAACTCAAGTCTCCCATGTCTCTCTGCCTCCATAAGAATTTGATTTAATGTCTGAGAAGCATTAGTCTAAGCATATACAAAACTGGGATTTTGTTCTTATTTTCTAATCTTCCCCAGTTCAGAAAATGGTGTCTCCACTCCTCAAATGCTTAGCCAAATCCAAGAAAGATAATTGCATTCTTTCTCTCACACCACATCCAATCCATCACGCAAATCATACAAGCCCCACCTTAAAAATGTGTCCAGAATGGACTACAAATTCTTACCCCTACTACTATTACCAAACTAATCCAAATCACCATCACTTCTTCCTGGGTCTATTCCAATAGCCCTGTCTTGTTTCCTTGCTTCCACCGTTAACCTTTCCACAGTTGGTATTCAACACAGCAACCAGATTAACCTTTTCAGATACAAGTCAGATATTTACTAGCCTCTGTTCCAACCCTGTAATGTACCTCCATTTCTCTCCTTGTGTATAATCCAAATCTTTACCACAGATTACAAAATCCTATGCATTCTGTCACCTTTCTACCTGTCTGACTTCACCTGATACCATTCCCTCCCTCTCTTATTGTGACCTTCATTTGTATTTTTACTATCCTTAAAAACTCAAAATCCAAGCCACGTTCCTAAATCAGAATCTTTGCACATATCTTCCATCTTTCTAAAATATTTTTCCAGGGACACCTGAGTGGCTCAGTCAGTTAAGCATCTGACTTCGGCTCAGGTCATGATCTCACAGTTAGTGGGTTTGAGTCCTGAATGGGGCTCTGTGCTGACAGCTCAGAGCCTGGAGCCTGCTTCAAGTTCTTTGTGTGTCTCTCTCTGCCCCTCCCGTGCTCATTCTCTCTCTCTCTCTCTCTTTCTCTCTCTCTCAAAAATAATATAAAACATTATTTTTTTTTAATATTCTTCTCCCAAATACTCATAAATCTTGTTTCTCCAGTTCTTTTTGGTCTCTAGTCAAATGGCATCTTTTCTGAGAGGACTTCTTACATACACACTAGCACATTCTGTCCTTATCCTGGTTTGTTTTTCTTCATATCATCACTTAATACATAGTTTTGGCAGGTACTTTCTGCTTCTCCACACTAGAATATAAGGCCTGTAAGAATAAGAACTGTGTTTTGTTCACTATTTCTCCCAACCACCTAAAAGAGTGTCTGTCACATAGCAGATACTAAATACATATTTTTCTTGATTAAAGCAATTAAAAACATTTGCTGGGTGCCTTCTAGGTGCCAGAACATGATTGTACTAGGTTCTGATGATACAGAAAGGAGGAAGGTATGAATTCTGCTTTCAAGGAACTCATTTTTATAGTATGTTTCTCTGGAAGGAAATGTAATGCCCCACCCTCCAAGACATCCATGGCCTAATTTAATCCCTGGAACCTGTGAACACCTTACATGGGAAAAGGGACATTGCAGATGTAATTAAGTGAAGCATCTTGAGATGGAAAGATGACCCT